TACACCATGCAAGGGCCTGATGATAATTACATTTCACATTTGTTTCCTGACGACCAGTTATCAAATTTGGTGGTGTGACGAGTTGTCACCTATTCATTGCCCTGTGACTAAGGGGCCGTCCATAAATGACGTCACGGACCTAGGGGGGGTGTCAGACATTTGTGACGATGTGTGACGAGGGGGTGGGGGGGTTGAGAAATGTGACGTCACATCAAAATGCGCAACTTTAAATAAATATAGACAACACGTTCTACTTAATTAAATAGACTTTTTAATAAATGTGTTCTCCTACAACATCAGAGTGCAGCACCACATTAAATGCGCACTACAATGACAATAGTTTAAGCGATTTGAAGCATGTTTTTTTTTGGGGGGGGGGGCAGAGCTTTGTGACGTCATATTTGAGGGGGGTCTGACTTTTTGTGACGCCGTGTGATAAAAAGGAGGGGGGGGGGGTTAAAAATCGTCCAAAATCACGTGACGTCATTTATGGACGGCCCCTAAGTCACCGAGTGACCCATCACACCCTGATGCTGCTGATGCTGGTGATGCTGATTGCACTGAAACGCGAGTGATGCTGATTGTAAGACCGCTGTTGCTGATGATGGTGATTACGCTGCTGCAGCTGATGATTATTCGGATGATGCTGCTGCTGATAATGACGATAGAGATGATGTTGGTAATGCTGATGATACTGCTGATGATGACGATGCTGATGCTGAGAAAGATGATGATGCTGAGTAGGAGGAGGCTTTATCGAATCCACTGCTTCAGACGTCACGAGGAGGAGGAAGGCGCCGAGATGTCTGAGAGGAGAGAGAGGAGAGGGAGGGAGGAGAGAGAGAGAATGTGAAAGGGTAGAGGGAATGTGTGTGTGGTAGTGAGAGTGTGTGGGAGGGAGTGAGTGTGTGTGAGTGAGAGTGTGTGGGAGAGAGAGTGAGTGGGAGAGAGTGTGTGTGTGTGTGTGGGAGAGAGTGTGTGGGAGTGAGTGAGAGTGTGTGGGAGAGAGTGTGTGTGTGGGAGAGAGTGTGTGGTAAAGAGTGAGTGGCAGTGAGAGAGAGAGTGTGTGGTAGAGTGTGTGGGAGAGAGAGTGAGTGGGAGAGTGTGTGGGAGAGTGTGTGGGAGTGAGAGAGTGTGGGAGTGAGAGAGAGAGTGTGTGTGAGTGTCAGTGAGAGAGTGTGTGTGAGTGAGAGTGTGTGGGAGAGTGTGTGGGAGTGAGAGAGTGTGTGGGAGTGAGAGAGAGTGTGGGAGTGAGAGCGTGTGGGAGAGAGAGTGAGTGTGTGTGAGTGAGAATGTGTGGGAGAGAGAGTGTGTGGGAGAGAGTGTGTGTGAGTGAGAGTGTGTGGGAGTGAGTGAGTGTGTGTGTGAGTGGCAGTGAGAGAGAGAGTGTGTGAGTGAGAGTGTGTGCGAGAGAGAGTGAGTGGGAGAGAGTGTGTGTGTGTGGTAGTGAGAGTGTGTGGGAGTGAGTGAGAGTGTGTGAGTAAGAGTGTGTGGGAGAGAGAGTGAGTGGGAGAGAGTGTGTGTGTGTGTGGAAGAGAGAGTGTGTGGGAGTGAGTGTGTGTGGGAGAGTGTGGGAGAGTGTGAGTGTGTGTGTGGGAGTGAGAGAGTGTGTGTGTGGGAGAATGTGTGGGAGAGTGTGTTGGAGAACGTGTGTGGGAGTGAGAGTGTGTGTGTGTGTGGGAGAGTGTGTGGAAGAGAGAGTGTGTGGGAGTGAGTGAGTGTGTGTGTGTGTGGGAGAGTGTGTGGGAGAGTGTGAGTGTGGGAGTGAGAGTGTGTGTGTGTATGAGAGTGTGTGTGGAAGTGAGAGTGTGTGTGCGTGAGAGTGCGTGGGTGAATGTTTGTGGGAGTGAGAGTGTGTGTGTGAATGAGAGTGTGTGTGTGTGCGTGGGAGAGTGTGTGTGAGTGAGAGTGCGTGGGTGAGTGTGTGTGGGAGTGAGTGTGTGTGTGAATGAGTGTGTGTGAGTGCGTGGGAGAGTGTGAGTGAGTGAGAGTGTGAGTGAGGGAGAGTGTGTGGGAGTGAGAGTGTGTGTGTGGGAGAGTGTGGGAGAGTGTGAGTGTGTGTATGGGAGAGACAGTGTGTGTGTGTGGGAGAGTGTGTGTGAGTGAGAGTGCGTGGGAGAATGTGTGGGAGAGTGTGTGGGAGAGTGTGTGAGAGAGTGTGTGTGGGAGTGAGAGTGTGTGTGTGTGGGAGAGTGTGGGAGAGTGTGTGTGTGTGGGAGTGACAGTGTGTGTGTGTGGGAGAGTGTGTGTGAGTGAGAGTGCGTGAGTGAATGTGTGTGGGAGTGAGAGGGTGTGTGAGTGCGTGGGAGAGTGTGAGTGAGGGAGAGTGAGCGAGTGAGAGAGTGTGTGGGAGTGAGTGAGAGAGTGTGTGGGAGTGAGAGAGTGTGTGAGTGTTTGTGTGGAGTGGTGGTGTAGTGGTTAGCGCAATGCGCTACAAACCCGGCGACCCGGGTTCGAATCCCTTTCACCATCAGTGACGATTATCTGAACCGGTCCTGGGCCTCCCCTAGCTCGACTCAGCCTCAACATGAGTGCCAGTAGTAAACATCGCCACTTTTGGGAGACAAAGGCGGTCGGGCGCGGTGCTCGCGATACAGCACTTGTCCCAACAGTCTGCTAAGACTACAGGGGGGATCTTTGTCTTTGCGTGAGATGTGAGAGCGAGTCAGAATGTGTGGCGTGAGGTTGAGTGAGTGAAAAGGAGAGGGTGGGAGAGAGCGTGACAGCGTGTGTGAGTTATTGTGCTTGGATGGCTGTGTGGGTGTGTGTGTGTGGGTGTGTGTGTGGGTGTGTGTGTGTGGGTGTGTGTGTGTGGGTGGGTGTGTGTGTGTGGGTGGGTGTGTGTGTGTGTGTGGGTGTGTGTGTGTGGGTGTGTGTGGGTGTGTGTGTGGGTGGCCAACACCACGCCCGACCGCCTTTGTCTCCCCAGTGGTGGTCTTTACACACCGCACTAAATAAAGCACTCATTTGAGGCTGAGTCGACCTAGGGGAGGCCCAGGACCGGTTGATATTCGTCCATGATGTTGATCGTGAGCGGGTTGTCCTCACCCGCCTTCACACACACACACTCACCCCTACACACTCACACACTCACCCTTACACACACACACTCACCCCTACACACACACACTCACCCCTACACACTCACACTCACCCCTACACACACACTCACCCCTACACACACACACTCACCCCTACACACTCACACTCACCCCTACACACTCACCCCTACACACACACTCACCCCTACACACACACACTCACCCCTACACACTCACACTCACCCCTACACACTCACCCCTACACACTCACACTCACCCCTACACACTCACCCCTACACACACTCATTCTCTTACACACCCATAACCCCCCCCAACACACACTCACATTTCAACAATCCAACTGTTCCCATTGGCCAGTCGGTAGGTCCCCCCTCTAGCACCCCCCCACTCCCCCACCCCTCTCTGCACCCCCTCCCCTCTCCCCGTGTCACTCCTCGCACACAGCGCTCAGGCTGCGAGTCTCGCGCGCTCTCTCCCCTCGTCAACTCCCCCCTCGTCAACTCCCCCCTCGTCAACTCCCTCCTCGTCAACTCTTCCTCCTCGTCAACTCTCCCCTCAACTCTCCCCCCTCGTCAACTCCCCCCTCGTCAACTCTCCCCCCTCGTTAACTCTCCCCTCGTCAACTCCCCCCTCAACTCTCCCCCCTCGTCAACTCTCCCCTTGTCAACTCTCCCCTCGTCAAATCCCTCCTCGTCAACTCCCTCCTCGTCAACTCCCCCCTCGTCAACTCTCTCCTCGTCAACTCTCCCTCCTCGTCAACTCTCCCCTCGTCAACTCTCCCCCCTAGTCAACTCTCCCCTTGTCAACTCTCACCTCGTCAACTCCCTCCTCGTCAACTCCCCCCTCGTCAACTCCCCCCTCGTCAACTCCCCCCTCGTCAACTCTCTCCTCGTCAACTCTCCCTCCTCGTCAACTCTCCCCTCGTCAACTCTCCCCCCTAGTCAACTCTCCCCTTGTCAACTCTCACCTCGTCAACTCCCTCCTCGTCAACTCCCCCCTCGTCAACTCCCTCCTCGTCAACTCCCTCCTCGTCAACTCTCCCCTCGTCAACTCCCCCCTCAACTCTCCCCCCTAGTCAACTCTCCCCTCGTCAACTCTCACCTCGTCAACTCCCCCCTCAACTCTCCCCCCTCGTCAATTCTTCCTCGTCAACTCTTCCTCGTCAACTCTCCCCTCGTCAACTCCCCCCTCGTCAACTCCCTCCTCGTCAACTCTCCCCTCGTCAACTCTCCCCCCTCGTTAACTCTCCCCTTGTCAACTCTCACCTCGTCAACTCCCCCCTCGTCAACTCCCCCCTCGTCAACTCCCTCCTCGTCAACTCTCTCCTCGTCAACTCTCCCCCCTCGTTAACTCTCCCCTTGTCAACTCTCACCTCGTCAACTCCCCCCTCGTCAACTCCCCCCTCGTCAACTCCCTCCTCGTCAACTCTCTCCTCGTCAACTCTCCCCTCGTCAACTCTCCCCTCGTCAACTCTCCCCTCGTCAACTCCCTCCTCGTCAACTCTCTCCTCGTCAACTCTCTCCTCGTCAACTCTCCCCCCTCGTTAACTCTCCCCTTGTCAACTCTCACCTCGTCAACTCCCTCCTCGTCAACTCCCCCCTCGTCAACTCCCTCCTCGTCAACTCTCTCCTCGTCAACTCTCCCCTCGTCAGCTCTTCCTCCTCGTCAACTCCCTCCTCGTCAACTCCCCCCTCGTCAACTCTCCCCCCTCGTCAACTCTCCCCTCGGTTGGCTACGTACGGTGCGAAAGAAGTTCAACTTGAGGGGCGGGGAGGGGGGTGGGGGAAAGGTGGAGAGGGGGGGGGGCTTGCGTGAGTCGATAAGGAGGGGAGTGGGGGGGGTCAGCTAAGAGAAGGCAGGAGAGGGAGAGGGGGAGAGGAGGAGGGAGGAGGGAGAGGGAGAGGAGGAGGGAGGAGGGAGAGGAGAGGAGGAGGAGAGGAGGGAGAGGAGAGGAGGAGAGGGAGAGGAAGAGGGAGGAGGGGGAGGAGGAGAGGGAGGAGGAGAGGAGACGCCACGGACCGGGGCCTCGAGTCGGGGGTCCTCTGGATGGAGACGCCGCGAGGCGGGGAGGTCGCCAGTGCCTTTCTCGGTGAGAGCTCCGTTCTGTGGTTGAAGGTGGTGGTGGTTGTGAAGGTGGTGGAGGAGGTGGTGCAGGTGGTGGAGGTGGTGGTGGTTGTGAAGGTGGTGGAGGAGGTGGTGGTGGAGGTTCTGGTGAAGGTGGTGAAGGAGGTGGTGGTGGTTGTGGTGGTGGTTGTGGTGGTTGTGAAGGTGGTGGAGGAGGTGGTGCAGGTGGTGGTGGTGGAGGTGGTGGTGGTTGTGAAGGTGGTGGAGAATGTGGTGGTGGAGGTTCTGGTGAAGGTGGTGGAGGAGGTGGTGGTGGTTGTGGTGGTGGTTGTGGTGGTGGAGGAGGTGGTGCATGTGGTGGTGGTGGAGGTGGTGGTGGTGGTGGTTGTGAAGGTGGTGGAGGAGGTGGTGCAGGTGGTGGTGGTGGTTGTGAAGGTGGTGGAGGAGGTGGTGCAGGTGGTGGTGGTGGAGGTGGTGGTGGTGGTGGAGGTGGTGGAGGTGGTGGTGACTAAACGAGGCAGCTCGCCTCCAACTTTCCTCACCACCATTTTCACCAATCCTTCTCTACATCATCATCTTTACCACCTCCACCATCATCGTCGTCAGCCTTCATCTCAATTATACACCGAATTATAAATCATCAACATCCTCATCATCGGATCTGTTACAATCACCACCAATCTTCATCACAATCATTAACAGTCGCCTCCACAATCATCGTCATGGATGGTCCTCAGCCCATCATCTCTCCGGCGTCGCTAAAATTGGCACCACTTTGTGAGGAAGTCAAAAGCGGTTTGTCCTCTGCTATAGCCTCATCCCCCGCCATAGGAATGTGCAATTTCCACCACTGGCTCTGCACGACAGTGAACAGTTAAGCACCGACGCCTCAAAGCTCATTAGAGCCTCGGATTAGCAACGGTTGGCTAAGTACGGTGCAAAAGAAGTGCAACAGACATACTGAGCAGATGACGCGACTCTTGACTTGCTTGATAAATCACCACCATCATTTTCGCCTTCATCATCGCCATCGTGAAGAGCGACTTCGTCAACCAAAGCAGAAGAGCCCTCTGTCTCAAGCGCTGACGGAATGGTCAATCCACCTTTGCGTCTGGAAGCCGTGGTCTCATCTCAGCTTCTTGATCATCGTCTGGATCTCTGTCTGTCTTCACGAGTCTTCTCCTGCCTCGGAAGATTTAAAAAACAGAATTCCTCCGCGACTCTCCCCCATCGTCTAAATCAGCACAAGCCTCCCGTACATCACGTGACTTCCCTGTGGCCACACCCACTCTGAGCCCCTCCCCTCTCCCCGCCCGCTGTGAAAACAGACGCCGATCCTACTCCGTGCAGCTGCAGCAGCAGCAGCGTCGATCCTCCTCCATCCTCTCCCCATCTCTCCTCACCCCTCTGTTCCCGTTTCTCCGTTCCTTCTCCACCCCTCTCCCAATGATTTCCCATTCCCTTCTCCTTCTCTCTCTACCCTCTCCCGTTCCTCTTTCTCTCCCCCCACCACGCATTACATCCTGGACTCAACTAACTTCCCCGTGGTGCAGCCACTACGGGTACATCAGTTGCTGGTTTGTCCCCATTTGTACAAGATGTCGTTTGTTTTCTTTCTGTGGCCGTGTACAAACATTTGAATGGACCATATTCCACAACGGCAGTAATTGTAACACGGGACGAAAGAATTGCAGACTTCTGCACGAAGACGCACCAGCTTGCTGTTGGCGCGTCTCGTGAGAGACCTGCGCGCGAATCATGAACGAGGGTAGAACGGACGGGAGTACAGCAAGTAGGTTGGTGGACTGTCTGTGGGCAGTGCCGGATGAAGCTAGCGCGGGGCCTGTAGCAAATGTTATAAAGGGGCCCTAAATGAAAAACACATACTTAATAAAACACAATTTTTTTTAACTTGCATAGTAAAGTAATTGTATTTTTGCATTTGCTATAAAGCCAGATAATACGACAAATCGCTAACCTTAAACGCGCAGTCCATAAAAGTTGAAGGCAGTATAGTACTATAGTGATAGAGCAAGTGCAGAATCACTGAACCGGAATTGATAGCTTGAAAGCATTTAGCGCGGGGCCCTTGAAAGTGCGGGGCCCGTAGCTACTACTACACGTGTAGTAGCTACTTGTATAGCTACATATGTAGCTACTTTTGCTACGAGGATAAACCGGCACTGTCTGTGGGTCTGCAGCCAGATCGTTGAGTGTCACCCCCTCGTATCCACCGCGCTGCTGCTGCTGCTGAGACTCATCTGGTACAGAAACACGGGGAGGCTGATCGATGCCCGGGTCAAGGGTCGGCTCCCTTCCTCCTGGGTCAACCATGTTACGTAATGCTGATGATTTGGTAATTACTGCTCTATTGGGGACTGTTGCTGAACCTGGAGAGTGCCACTAAGAGGTTTGGTGGCCCTGACCATCAGCCCCACCAAAACAAAGAACCCGCAACGGTACGTTGTGTCATCAGGCTACTACTACCACTACTACCACCACCACTACTACCACCACCACCACTCCATCCCGTCAGCTCTGCGTGAGTGATGGGGCAAGTTGTGGAGCTGGAGGGGTTCCCATTACCTGGGGCAGTGCGCTCATTCCCAGCTCGCCGTTTGACACCAGAGCTCTCGCCACAGTGGGAGACTCTAAACAATAAATATATTTATTTAGTTTACATCACGGTTGCTTGAGCACGGGGCCCGGAGGCTCCAAACATCAAGCGGCCAGCAACAAACAGCGCCCGGCGTTTTACAGTTTTGCCATATCATTGGCCCTAATATCTCGGTGAGTGGCAACACGCTCTTGAAAGTTCGTCTCGAGACTCGGTGCGGCTTTCCTGGGTAAACAAAGTACGTTGTTTGTTGTTGATCTTGTTGTTGATGCTGTTGTTGGATGATGATGATGATGTCGTTGACGTTATTGTGATTTACCTCCCCCCGGAGGAGATTGAGAAACCGGTGGGGTGGAGCCCAGGTGCCTCGTCCACCCTGGGGGATGAGCGAGAAGGAGCGGGAGGAGAAGGAGGAGGTGGCGGGTCAGAGCAGGAGGAGGGCGGCAGATGAGGAGGAGGAGGAGGAGGGGGGAGAGGGGGGAGAGGAGGAGGACGAGGAGGAGGCTCCACCACCAGCCAAGCGACAAAGAGGTCGCCCGCGGAAACAGCAGCAGGTCAGAGGTCATCACATCGTCGCTCGTCATCTTCACCTTGAGCCATCATCTCACGTGTGACACCGTCGCCGAGATTGGTAAACCTCGTCACCGTCATCGCCATCATCGGCGGCACGATTGTCGGAAACGGCAGCATCTTCAAAAGGACGCATCAGCAAAGTTGCACCTCCCCACATCAGTCTGCACGGCTCCGCGGGGAATCTCTGCACGTGTCATTCCACGTGCGTCGTGGAGAGCGGTGGGGCAATTGTCGGCGCGCCGCGTTACAAGCGCGGCCAAGTCTCGAGTGCGACTCTCGCTCACGGACAACATCGGTGACGAACGTTCGAACCGTTTCTGGGCCACGCCTGGGTCCTGGTGCAATGTTTACACATCGTCACCGCGGAGACAAAGGCGGTCGCGCGCCCTGATGGCCGTCCACCCCCCCCCCCCCCCAATCGTGTGCCGTGCCGGCCTTAATAGGTGCTCGCTAACAGCACTTGCCCCCAAGAGTCTGCTATAGCCTACACAAGGTGATCTTTGCCTGTGTGCTGCTGTGTGCTGCTGTGTGCTGCTGTGTGCATGCTGTGTGCATGCTGTGTGCATGCTGTGATCAACAAGGTCTCTGCGGCTGCCCCCACACCCAAGCGACCTCGGGGCAGACCCAAGGGCAGCAGGGGCAAGGCGCCACAGACGACGGTGCGTACACACAAAGATCCCCGTGTCACCTGCACACGCTTTTATCGGGGGCAATTACGATTAGCGAGTAAGCACCCGTGAAAGAAAGTCTGCAGTGGCCAACGAGGGAGGCGGTGTGGTCAGCTCCACACTCGGCCGCCTTTGTTTTGCCTGATGTCTACCTAGCCTGGCACTGCCCAGTAGCGCCCTTCACGAGCCTCCTCCGCTGAGGCCGATCTTGACGCTGCTAGTACCAGTCATCGGCAAGTCCAATCATCTCCACATCCTCCTGCATCGCATCAGTCCATCTCTTGTCCAGCCCATGCCGCGCCTGTTCAGCCCCCTTTATCCGGCCAAATAGAAGCTGCTTTGGCATGCGGGGGCTGGGCAAGCGGGCTACATGACCCAGCCAAATGCAGCCTCGCCTGCCAGAGCTCACTGATGGAACTGTGGCCAGATCTTTCAAAGATCTGTGAGCTCATAGAATCCAGTCTGGTTAAAATCCAGGATGATTCGTAGGCTGGTAAGCCTGTTTCAAGCCAGCACAGATGTTCCTTTAAAGAGTTCCATGTTTCACGAGGATTGAGATAAGATGGCATAATTCTGGCCGAGAAGACCCGGAGCTTCGTATGGAGTGACAGACCAGGAAGCTTCCACACAGCGTGAAGCAACTGATGAAAATATCCCACTTGACCTCTTCAAAGTGAGACCTACACTGCCAAACTAGAGCTGGTCATCAGCTCTCGACTGCACCCGGGTATCGATCATCCTCCCATTTTGTCTGTTCCAGATGGAAATTCCACCTGTACAGTCATGGAAAGTGTCTCTAACCACGTGGTCAAATAATGTAGGAGCCAGAGGACATCCCTGTCACACTCCAAGGTGACCAGGGAATGGCCCTGACTTTACCCGGGCCACCATCATGAAGGTCCTTGATGAATTATGAGCAGAGAGTCGGGGACTCCGAAAGCACGAAAGAACAACCCAGAGCACTGGCCTAGTGATTGTATCATAGGCCATGACCCAGGTCAATGAAGCTGAGATGTAGGTCCCGTTGAACTTCCCTCTAGCCCGTGCTGTAGCAGACAGAGAATAAAGAGGACCGTGTGCCAGTATGAGACCAGATCAGAGCTTCTCGGCAGCAACGCTACCCTGGCAAGGAGGGGGGGGGTGATGAAAAATCCTTCGCAGGATCTTTACCGGCACACTGAGGAGGGGGACGCCCGGTAGACGTTCTTTAATAATCAGGTACGACCCCCCCCCCCCCCCTTTCTTAAAACAAAAGGGGGGACCACCAGACCGCACGCATAAAGACAAAAGATAAAGATCCCCCGTGTAGGCTTAACAGACTGTAGGGGGCAAGTGCTGTGAGCGAGCAGCACCTATGAAGGCCGGCACTGGCACACGAGGGGGTGGGTGGCCAACACCAGGCCCGGCCGCCTTTGTCTCCCCAGTGGCGATGTTTGCACATAATTTGAGGCCGAGTCGACCTAGGGGAGGCCCAGGACCGGTTCAGATAATCGCCACTGGCGGTGTTGGTGGCCATGAGCGGGAATCGAACTCGGGTTGCCGGATTCGTAGCGCAGCGTAGCACTAACCGCTACACCACCGCTCCCCACACACACACAAACACAACACTCGTTCACACACAGACAAAGGCCCCCTATGTAGCCTTAACAGACTGTTGGGGCAAGTGTTGTTAGTGAGCACCTATTGATATTGAAAATCACGGAACTATGATGTTGACGAGGATGGCAATGATCATGTCGGTGATGATCATGCCGTTGTTGATCGCGGCGATGATGATAATGATCATCATCCACGACTCCCACATTTCTGCCCCCGTAGGCAACGGAGGCACCGGGAGAGAAGAAAAGGCGAGGGCGCCCCAGGAAGCGGGTAAATGGGCGAACGCCGCCTCACTGCAACGTGGTCACAGCCTCGCCGATACACCAGCGTCACCGCAACTTGCCCACAGCCTCACTGCTGCATCACTGAGACGCGATGTCTTTGCTGACTTTGAGCTTTCGTGACTGCAGGAATTCACATGCTTTGGGTCTTTCGGTAAAGTCAGGTAGACAGGTTCAAAGAAAATAACAAAAAACAACAGCAAGCTACGACGTTTCTATCGCAACACGAGCGTCCTTCCTGATGACGAACGCTTGCGCTGCGATGGAAACGTCCTAGGTTTTTGTTGTTATTTTTTTTCGAACCTATCTAACGCGATTTTTCCAGAAACACCCAAAGCAGATGTCCTTGTTGTTGCTGTTGTTGTTGTTTGCTATTCTGTTGTAGTCGCGTCACAGAAGCAAACGTTGCACGCTAACGGCGGCGTGGATTAGCATCAGGACGCGGTACGGGCGCAGCCCTGCAACTGCTCGCTCACGGCCCTGCTGGTCAAAGGGCCCACACGAGGCCGTTGTCGAAGAAGTCCCCCTCAGCCGGGCTTGCGAGTGAAGCTGGCTAATGGTCTTCACCCGGCCACCATGTGGCTGCCTGCCCCCCCCCCCAACGCCCCCCAATAAAAAGTGAACATTTGACGTCTCAAATTTGAATTGGCGCTTTCGTGCCGCGGGAATTACTCTCTGGTTCTTTCGGTAAAGTCAAGTAGAAAAGAGAAAATAATCAATGAAAAAATAGCATACGACGTTTCGATTCGATTACAACACGAGCAATCATCATCAGGTGCAAATGAAAGAGAAAACACACCTAGCGAACTTAGAAATAAAATGCAACACAACGCGTTTCACCCGATTTCTGCCAAATCCCAGCGCAGAGAATTCAAATGTGGGGGTTGGCTGTCGTGCTCCATCACGCGGCAGAGGCAGCGTCAAAAGGGTTGCCCTCCGCTGTGCGTGGAGCACAGCGTGCCACTTGAAGGAGATCTGCGAGGTAGCTCTGTGAACTCCGCTTCCGTGGGCTGCTCTCCGAGGACACGAATCGTGCGCGGCGATTTCCGGATTCCACTCCACGTTACTATGCCAGGGGGGGACTGTGTCACTCCCTCCCACATGGGACTACCACTGCCGTGGTGGCGAGGTGTTAACTACCTCGCCTGGTATGCAGGAGGTCGTGGGTTCGATCCCGACCCCGACACCTGCTGCTGTATATTTGGAGTTTGCGTGTCTCTCTCTCATCATCATCACGGTGGCTAGGAGATGTTAACTACCTCACCTGGTGTACAGGAGGTCGTGGGTTCGATCCCGACCTTGACGCCTGCTGCTGTATATTTGGAGTTTGCGTCTCTCTCTCTCATCATCATCACGGTGGCTAGGAGATGTTAACTACCTCGCCTGGTATGCAGGAGGTCGTGGGTTCGATCCCGACCCCGACGCCTGCTGCTGTATATTTGGAGTTTGCGTCTCTCTCTCTCATCATCATCACGGTGGCTAGGAGATGTTAACTTCCTCGCCTGGTATACAGGAGGTCGTGGGTTCGATCCCGATCCCTGACGCCTGCTGCTGTATATTTGGAGTTTGCGTGTCTCTCTCTCATCATCATCACGGTGGCTAGGAGATGTTAACTACCTCGCCTGGTATGCAGGAGGTCGTGGGTTCGATCCCGACCCCGACGCCTGCTGCTGTATATTTGGAGTTTGCGTGTCTCTCTCTCATCATCACGGTGGCTAGATGTTAACTACCTCGCCTGGTATACAGGAGGTCGTGGGTTCGATCCCGATCCCTGACGCCTGCTGCTGCTGTATATTTGGAGTTTGCGTGTCTCTCTCGTCCCGTAGTCGTGTGGATTTTTTCTCCAGGTCCCCCCGTTTCCCCCCCCCATCCTCCACATTGAGAACCAACGTGCGTTTGTGGAGTATCTGACCGCTGTAAATCTCCACGTGAAGATTAGCCACTCGTTTGAGCGATCGCCAGGCCGCTTCCGAAAAAGAGCCACCGACAGCCCACAGTGTGCCGCTCTTACCCGGTAAACAATTACAAAATAAAAAAAGTAGATTTGCACATTTGTTTTCGTGTGTGTGTGTAAAGTTATCGGAAAGCCCAACGCGGCAAAAAGGTCGAGCAGCAGATGCAACGGTCCCAGGTTCCCAAAGTTGCCGCCCTCGCAGTGGGCACGGCGCCGACATTCCTGACGATCCAGCGCAGTACGCCACTGAGAAGGGAACTCCGGGGCGGTGGGGGAGGGATGGGGTAGGTTTGGGGGGAGGGGAGGGGAGGAGAGACAGAGAAGGGGGGTGGTGGTGCTGGGAGGTGTTGAGAGTTGAGAGTCTGCCTTGAGATATTTCGTGCTTTCCTTTCCTCGCCTTCGGGATTCCAAAGGACCGGCGCAGATTAGCAAGCAGCGGGGCTTTTCGCGACCGGTATTACTCGTCACGAAGGTTTTTGGGGTTTTTTTTTAGGGGGCGGGGGGGGGTGTTAGATCGCGTTCAGTATAAATGCGTCGTGACCCTCCACCACCCGACACGGCCAAATGGTCAGGGATTTGTCACGCAAACAAAACGCCAATGGAGTTGCTCCTTCGTCACGGACCGGCGCTCGTGCGTCACGCGCGCACACACACACACAAAAACCACGTGCAGTTCCTGGAGAACTGAGTTTTGCCGTGTCCTCTTGTCTTAAGGTCACCACGGAAGTAAATGTCTGAGCGAATGTGACCGACTGAGCAGCTGCAGCAGGAGCAGCAGCAGCGGCGAGTGAGGCTGTGTGAATGAGTGAGGCTGAGTGAGGCCGTGTGAGCGAGTGAGCGAGGGACCGCATGCTTTTCTCATTTCCTGGAGTCGGGAGTGGGAATCGCAGCTTCCTGTGCAGAAACATTTTCAGGTGGAAGAACGGTTTGGGTTTTTATAAAAAAAAAACAAAAGTCTTAAGATTTGGGTACAAACAAAGACAAAGATCCCCCGTATAGCATCAACATCATTTTGGGGTAAGTACTTTTTAACGGTACAAAAGGGGGGTCAAGCGGGTAGCAGCACGCCCGTCCGCCTTTGTCTCCCCAGTGGCGATGTTTACACATTGACGACCTAGGGGAGGCCCGGGACCAGCTCAGATGACCGTCACCGGTGTTGGCCATGAGCGAGAATTGAACTCGGTTCTCCGGGTTTGTAGTACAGCGGGCTAACCACTGCCCCACCACTCTCGTCTCTTTGAAATTCGAATCACGAGGCCGGATTGCAACAGGATTCGCCAGCCGTCAAGTTAGACCAATATACAAGGTGCTTCAAAAAACATGTTTTAACACTTATACGGGACTATCGTTTTTAATGGAAAAAATAACGGATGATAATAATAACACTGTGACATGATAACAAAAGTAACGTTAATCGTTTCAAAAAGTCAACGAGTCTCCCCACACTTGTTCGCCATCGTTGTCAACGCGTGGCCTGGGAATCTACTCCAGCGGGTCTCCAGAACCCGGAAGCAGCAGCGCGTGTCACGTGGTGTTGCAAATTCTCACAAAGTGTTCACATTTTTTTCTTAAGCACCCTGTGTAGATCTTACATGCGCACCTGTACCGAACCTTTTCACGTAACATTTGCGTCGTTTTTTGACTCGCACGTGTTTCCTTTGTGATCGTTAAAAAAAAACCCTTATTTGCCGTGCGTTATTCCGCACCTGCGGTTAGCAAGGTACACGAGGACCCTGTGCTCGTTCTCTGCATATTATTATTGTTGTTCTTCTTCTTTGGTTCTTTCGGTAAAGTCACCACGTAGAATGAGAATAAAATAATACAATAAAACAAGAGAATTTTATTGTTTTATTTTATTATTTTATTCTCATTCTACGTGGTGACTTTACCGAAAGAACCAAAGAAGATGAATCCTTGCAGTCACGAAAGCTTTAAATCGAAAAATTGTTGTTGTTTCTCCGTTGCCGTTGCTGCTGTGCTCACGCATCACGGATCCCCCGTGCGAAATATCCGGGGAAATTGGCTAAACGGGTGAAACATGATGATTTCACAGCCAGTGTCGTGATTCATCATTGATTTTTTTTTTGAGCCGGGTGGTTAGGCAACGTGATGATGTGGTCGATTTCTCCTCGTGGTACCCCACCGCCACCCGACAAAGCTAAACGGACGACGTTGCCACGTGGCGCACGAGCAGCTTCACGATGCGCCCATCGACTGCTTTGTCCTGAAGATGCTTGCAGCAGTTTCAGCGAAAACGTCGGGTGTCTCAAATCGCTTTAACAAAAAAATCGGTCTGCGAGAATTGCTCTTGAGCTTAAATGCTGGATAATTAATCGAATCGTGACGTACACATTTATTTGTGTAACAAAACAAATAATTTTAAGAATCTAATTGTATTTGTGATTTTCTTTTGCGTTTGTTTTTCAAGGAACCGGAACAGGCAGCTCAAGAGCCACCTCAGGGGTCCTCGGGCACCAGCCAATAGAAGCAGGCCTCATGCTACCTCAAGACGGTCGGGTCCTGTGAACACGTAAGGTGGCTAACGAGGTCAACTGCCTGCACGAAATAAGTTAAAATATGATGCCCAAATACACAAAGGCGGCCGTTAAAACTCGATTTAACCGCACGGTTAAGTTAACTGCACTGCACAGTCTGGCGGATTGGGAGAAATCGCGATAAACTCAAAGCTAAAAATTGCTTTGTGCCGTTGAGATCCTGGGTTGCAATCACAGCGATGACACCGGTGTCTCATAGACTCACGTAGAGACCCACAGACTCACATAGAGACCCATAGACTCACGTAGAGACCCACAGACTCACGTAGAGGCCCCCAGACTCACACAGACACCCACAAACTCACATAGAGACCCACAGACTCACATAGAGACCCACAGACTCACATAGAGACCCATAGACTCACGTAGAGACCCACAGACTCACGTAGAGACCCACAGACTCACATAGAGACCCACAGACTCACATAGAGACCCACAGACTCACATAGAGACCCACAGACTCACATAGAGACCCACAGACTCACATAGACACCCACAGACTCACATAGAGACCCCCAGACTCACACAGAGACCCACAAACTCACATAGAGACCCATAGACTCACATAGATTCCCATAGACTCACATAGAGACCCAGAGATTCACATAGAGACCCATAGACACACATAGATTCCCATAGACTCACATAGAGACCCACAGACTCACATAGAGACCCATAGACTCACGTAGAAACCTACAGATTCACGTAGAGACCCCCAGACTCACATAGACACCCACAGACTCACATAGAGACCCCCAGACTCACACAGAGACCCACAAACTCACAGAGACCCATAGACTCACGTAGAGACCTACAGATCCACGTAGAGACCCCCAGACTCACGTAGAGACCTACAGACTCACATAGAGACCCCCAGACTCACACAGAGACCCACAAACTCACATAGAGACCCATAGACTCACATATAGGCCCATAGACTCACGTAGAGACCTACAGATTCACGTAGAGACCCACAGACTCACGTACAGACCCCCAGACTCACATAGACACCACAGACTCACATAGAGACCCCCAGATTCACACAGAGACCCACAAACTCACATAGAGACCCACAGACTCACATAGAGACCCACAGACTCACATAGAGACCCAGAGATTCACATAAAGACCCATAGACTCACATAGAGAACCCATAGACTCCCATAGAGACCAATAGGCTCACATAGAGACCCATAGACTCACGTAAAATGAGTTGTGATTAAACTGGGTTCTCAAATATAGAGAGTTGATGGACTCGACCCAGTCACCAATGAATTGCATATAGTATCACAGACCTACACATAGACTTATACAGTATAGAGACCCAGAGGCTTACATGGAAACCAATAGGCTTACATAGGGACCAATAGGCTGACACAGAGCCCCATTGGCTCACTTAGACTGGGGTGGTGATTCAACTGAGTTTCTCAAGTCTAGTGAGTTGATGATCTCAGCCTGGTCAACAATTTAACACATGAAACCCATCACATAAAATTTGGATCTGCACTTAATTTGGCAAAAATTTCGGCTCTGAGCGATAACATTTTATCGGGGTTGACTGTCATGCAATGAGCGTTACTCCCTTACATCAGGGCAGGTGGGAAAGTGCTGCCCTCTGGTGCGCGTGGATAAGAGGTGACCTGAAGGAATCTCAGAAGTAGCTCTGTGATATCCGTTCCTGTGGGACGTTGGCGAACACCGCGCGCAGGTCTCGCCGCTCTGCGAGATTTTCCCAATGGATTCTTCGTCCCGGGGCAACACGATGCCGATGGCAGCACGATGATTGCGGATACGAAATCAAAGAGAAAATGAGACAAAATCATTTTGTTGGCGGCCGGGTAGAATTTCCCAAAACCGGCCCAAAAACTCTACGGCGATCAACTTCCCGACGCGTTTATTCAAAAAAATTTTGAAACAAAATTTGAATTGGAATCGACAGCGATCTCCCTCTCTCTCTGATCGCCCACACGCCACTCAGACGTCTACAACAGAAACAGCTAGAAGCTTCGACCTCTCGAGAGTCGTCCATTTTCACCAAAACAAATTTCCCACTGGCGCGGAGGCAACTCGACAGACGACATCGCCGCGTCGACGTCTGAGAGTTACAGCCTCGAGGTGGCAGTGGAGCAAATGGGTGTTGCCAGCATGGCGTCACCCCCTACGTGGTGATGGTTTCCTCCCCCCCCCCACCCCCCGGCAGCACAAAGCCGAACTCTCCTCGGAATCGGTCGAAACATCCGAGCGACGTAGCGCGGTGCTCTTCATTGCAAGGCCCCGCGGGCCAATGGCGGCCCCAGGTGGCCTTTAGTGCGGCCCATGATGTGCGGCCCTCCCCGCGACATATACACAACATGTGAAAACCCACCCCCATCATCGTGCTGCTGTCAAACCCCAACGGTTTTAAATGTGCGGCGGCCCTCACACACCGATGATGTCTTATTGGCCAAAGTGGGCCCCCTCCCCGCCCCCCACCCGTCTCTGAAAATGAGCGACGACCCTCCTGGAAAACGAGCCTCGAGACTCGGCGAGGCCTCCCCGGGTTAACGCATTCCACGCCGCGAAATCAACTCGGTTCGGATTTCAGAGGCTGTTTCGGCAATCGTCAGTTATACCGCGGCCGCTCGGAACGACGCACGGCTGTCAAGGGTGCGGGAGAAAAAAATAACCCAGCCACGAGTTGAAGCCTGCACGTCGATTCGCGTTGACCGTGAAAGCGATCGTCGGTGTAACCACACCTGCCCCTGGCAGCTGATGATGACGGCGATGAGGATGACACTGACGAGGATGATTTTGATGCGAATGATGGCGGCGGCGATGATGATGATGGCAGTGATAATGACATTGACGGGGATAATTTTCATGAGAATGATGGCGGCGATGATGATGGTGATGATGGCAATGATGGTGATGATGACAGTGATAATGGCATTGCCGATAATCATGATATGAAAAAGTAAGGATAGGTTTTACCCTACCTGGCAATAAGGTCCCACGACAATCATGATGATGGCAAATGACGACTGGTGACGATGACGATGATGAAGGGTGATGATAATTATTACGACGATGATGATGACGATGGTAACGATTTTGATGATTGACAACCATGCTGTGATCGTGATGACGACCATCATCATCATCACGATGACGACGACGACGATAACCATGACGATAGCAGTGACGACGATTACGGAATCGTGAGGTGCTATTGATCCAGCTTCGTGACCTTGTTTACTTTTCTTTTGGTGCTAAATACGTGACAACAAAACACACGGTTTATATAAATACACTATTTACCGTCTACTGCATGAACAGTGGGCTGCCTCATCAGTGGGAGGGGTTTGCCTGAACAGTGGGAGGGGGGTACCTGAACAGTGGGTGGGGCTTATCCGAAGGGGGCTGCTTCATCAGTGGGAGGGGTTTGCCTGAACAGTGGGAGGGGGGGGGGGGTACCTGAACAGTGGGTGGGGCTTATCCGAAGTAGGCTGCTTCATTAGTGGGAGGGGTTTGCCTGAACAGTGGGAGGGGGGTACCTGGACAGTGGGCGGGGCTTATCCGAAGGGGGCTGCCTCATCAGTGGGAGGGGTTTGCCTGAACAGTGGGAGGGGGGTACTTGAACAGTGGGCGGGGCTTATCCGAAGGGTGCTGCCTCATCAGTGGGAGGGGTTTGCCTGAACAGTGGGCGGGGCTTATCCGAACAGTGGATGGGGCCTACCTGGGTGGGGGCTGTGATCAGTGGGGCGGGGCCAACATCAGTTCGGGGGGGGGTGGGGCGCATCACTGTGTGGGGGGGGATAGTTAGCGATTGGGCGTGGCCATGTAAAAGTGGGCGGTGCTGGCCGAGGGGAGGGAGGGGCTCCTTGCTCACCACGTGTACCGTAGTTGTTGAGCCTCGCGTGAAATGTGGCAGCTTTGCTTTTATTTGAGTAGCTCACGACGGCTCTGTCACCACCACTGAACATTTACAAATTGAGTGAATTTGTGAACGCTTGCCGTTTGAGAAATTCAAAACCAAGTCTGAGCGCTCACACTAAAGACACCCATGATCCCGAACGGAGTCTCAGCCGGTTAAACAATGGGCAAGGATAAGTCACGTGGTAGGTATAAAATAAAAATAAATCACGACGTTTCGGGCGCAACACAAGCGTCCATCATCAGGTGGGAAAGCGTCTTATTTTATTTCTACCTACGTGACTTTACCGAAAGAACCAAAGAGTATGGATTACTGCTGTCACGAAAGCTTCAAATCAAGAATGGGCAAGGAAATAAATACGAACCGATATTCTGCAAAGGCGCAAAGATTATTCGGCGTCCATGATAGAGGTTTTTTTAATGGGTTAGATCGCGTAAATATATAAATGTCGTTAAAACCCGCCACCACCCGACACAGCCAACTAGTGAGGGTTGTGTCACATAAACAGAACGTGGCCAATGCGTCACTAGTACGGCACTAACCGGTGTGTTGGGAGAGCCAAGCCACGACATTTACAATCCGAGTACGATGATATTGGTCGCGAAAGCCTACGTGTTAAACTGATTACTTGGCGTGACAGTTCGAGTTTTAGTTTTTAGTTTCAACATTTTAATCTCTCGCGCGCGAGTGTGTGTGTGTGAACTTTATACGAATATTTGTTTTTTATCGTTAGGTCATGGTGCTATACGTATACACACACACACATCTAAGGTATTTCTTAAAGAGGATCACACTCGTTAAAGTATATTTTTGTACGAACATAATCACTAAAAAAATCACAATAAACCTCAAGAGTATTCTTTAAGAAAGTTTACACTCACGCTATTTCAAACGTGGATTCCGAACTGGACACTTTTGACATTGGCGTCAGATTCTTCAAGGTCTCTCTCTGCAGGACGTCATTGTCCCGCTGTGCGTGCGAGTGATTGACAACGGCTCAATGCAGTGGTCGAAAATGCTGCACTCCACACGCTTAAAATACAGATTTGTACATGAATACAGATCTGTGTTTGCAGTGCGCGGGATTTTTTTGAACGGACGTAAAGGAAGAGCCTAATCCGATGTTTTGCAACAGCCACTTGCGGTATTTCACTTTCGACCTCATTCAAATTCACGATTCCCGCGACCTCTTTGACCTCCGCGACCTCTGTAACCTCCGCGACCTCCGTGACCTCCGTGACAAAAACCGCAGCCTCAAGCCGGTCCGCACCCGAGGGATCGTGAGCGCAACTCGCGCCACGTGGCTGCCTGCAAACCGAGTCGCTTGCAACGTGGACGGTCTCAGCAACCGAAGTTGTGGAGCAGCCTGCTCCGCAACTTCGGTTGCTGCCCGCCTGCTCC